TATTTACCAATTATTTTTTAGTCCGGCAGAAATTAGGTGGATATGTTATAACAACTATGAGAGATGCTTGCCTCCAAGGATTTCTTGAATTGTCTCCCAGATTGATGCTTGCCATGTACTCTTGTGATATTCAAGCAACAAGTTGAGTGAAGTGAGATAAAATTTTCAATTTCTAATAATAAAATTTTAAATCCTAATTTTAAACATTGGGATTTCAGCCGAAGCTTTAGGCCGTGTATATGCGGTTATATCTAGACGTAGAGGTCGTATTATATCAGACGAGCTAAAAGAAGGAACTCCATTTTTCCAAATTTGTGCATTGCTCCCAGTTGTCGAAAGTTTTGGATTTGCTGATGGTCTGTTCTTGATCGTTTTTGCATTATCATTGCTGTACAATAATCTAATATTACTCTTATCTTTTATAGAAATCAGAAAACGAACTTCTGGTGCAGCTGTTCCACAGCTTATTTTCAGCGGGTAAATAAAGCTGCGACTTTGGATTTTAATAATTTTCGATTGATAATAACCCTTTATTGTATAGGTTTGAAATGTTAAATGAGGACCCTTTTTGGGTACCAACAACCGAGGAAGAGCTTGAGGATTTAGGAGAAAAATCCGATAGAGAGAATCTTGCAAAGAAATATATGGAAAACGTAAGGAAACGAAAGGTACTGTGTTAGGATTTTAATTGTAACTATTGTAACTATAATTTTCGTGATGTAAAGAGCCAATTTTATTATCGAATTATTAGGGAATGTCCACGGACAAGAAAATTGTTGAACACGCAGAAAAACAACGCACACTTAAGAAGAAGTAGGGTTAATTAAGCATGGTGGGCTTTTATTGTTATTAATTGAGCGTAATGTGATATGGTAAAGATCTTATTAGTCAACAAATCTTAACATTATCAAAGCAATAGATCAATTTAAAAAAAAATAATAATAAATAAAATATATCCTCGCAAGATTAACTTAACACCAATAAAAAACACTACAAAATCAAAATAGTTCTAATTCTAGTATTATAATTCTGATTATATTATTATTAGTCGATGTCGACCGATTCGATGTTATAAAATCGGCTTATCCTGATTAGTCGACTAAATAATAAAACATCGACCTATATATGATTTTTGATCAATCAAATCAAAAAAATTTAAGACAATTTGTTTACATATAAGTAGGGTTGTTAATGGGTTGGGTTGGATTAAATTATTCCTCAACCCACTCCAATTTGGGTTGGGCACACACCGGGGCAGCTCCGGAGTATGCAGCTCCATTAACAATCCTACATTTAAGATTAAAATCTACTTAAGTCCAGTCCATTACAGGACCAATTTGTAAATTAATTACGGACTGGTCTTGATCCAAACGACCTAGCACCTAGCCATGGCGAAAACAAGCGGTCATTTGGAGATTATTGAACTTTGCATTCTGATTAGAAGAAATTAGCAATAATTTTTTTAAATTGTTAGCAAAATATCTTAGCAATTATCTAAAGCTACAATATAAAAGCTTCTTATTTCAATTTATATAACTAAAATTAAAATAATTTTTTGAATATAACTATCAAATAAAAGCTATAACAAAGTTGCGTTTTTAACTTTTGATATTTTAACAATTATTTATTTAAAATTGGTGTAATTGATTTTTAGATATATACCTTCTTAAAGTTTAAAAAAACTCGATTTTTATTTAGCACTGCGCACCATATTTTATATCTAATTATACGTATCGCGTATAGCTTAATATTTAATATCGTTATTATGTAGCAAGTTAATAAATAAATATTTTAAATCATACGTAACAGTTTATCGTTATCATAACAGATAATAAACAAACATACAAATGTATATAGTAATTAATATACGTAAAACTCAAACAAAATTATATAGCTGTATTTAGCTAGTTATATTTTTGTCTATATACATACAAATTGCTTCTTAAGGGTAGTGAATAATTCACCCGGTGCAGGGATGATGATAAAATGCCGTGATAGATAAATTCTGCGATTTGGCCTGAATTACATTTAAGTCGACCAGAATTACGACTAAATCAGCCAAAATTTTAAAAATAAATTACAATGATCGCAGACCCTAATTAAAATTCTATCCGTGATTTTTCATGTTTTTAAGCAAATGCAGGTCCCTGACCCGGTGTTAAATAAGGTTTATCAATACAAGCCACTCTCGTTATGGTGAACTCTCGTTATAATGAGCTACCTGTTATAGTGAAGACCAGTTTATATAAAAACCTCTCGATGTAGTAAATTTACTAATAGACTTTCGATATAATGAAGTAAATTTACAGTCTGATCACTTCACTATAACGAGAATGACTTGTAATAAACTATACGTATAAATTTATTCAAAGCAGAAAGTATAACATCGATAAATAATGATGGACTTTTATTATAATTATTTTGGAAAGTATACTGATACAATACGTACGTACAAAAATTTAGCAATGTATTATATGTATTTATTATAGAAAAGAGATCAAAATCTTAAACTTTTTGTAATACATTTGCATATGCTTAGTAGTTCAATCGTGATGATCTACAGGTGGTCCAATAATTTTGGTAAAGTATAACGCCTGCTGCGAAATTTTGTTGGATTAATTAAGTGCGCACCGGTACGTACCTACATACAGTGGAACTATAAATAAAAAAAAGCATGTATAATTCTAATACTGATATGATTTAGCGGATGAAGTTCGCGAATAAATTTACTTAGTGATGCATCACATGAAGTGCTGAATAGTCAGTCCTTTGATCGAGTCGAAAAATTTAATTACCGACTTAATGCGCATAAATTAATTGTTATAAGAACGATCGTTCTCTGATTATATTAATATAATATTAAGATTAGATTTTGGCGTTGGATTGATTGTCCAAAAAGTAAAATATCAATTTTCTTGATTGCATTTTTTCGAAACATGTAAATAAAACGTGATAGGTAGTACGTACCCAGTTACAGCAGCATTGACAGTAACACGTGCATTGTGTTAAGTATTGTATAATAGATCAACGATTGTTTTAATATTTTAGTATTATAAAAAAAATTTTTTTTTGATATTGTGAAATTGATATAAAGTCTGTCACGATAATGCCCCAACAAAATAATTACCTTTTTCTTTTCCTTAAAGAAATTCATAAAGGTAAAATAAAATTTGAGTTTCCGTTAATTATATAATTGCATGATATATTCATTCGCGCAATTTTTTTTATTTTTTAAATTTAATCTTCGAAATCTTTTTTATAAATCTATTTTTAATTTATTCAGATGATCGAAAATAATTCTGGCAAAAAATTTACTTGGCAAGAATTAGCCAAGCATAATAAACATGATGATGCATATGTAGCCGTCCGTGGTAAAGTATATGACATCACAAATTTTATAGAACGTCATCCAGGAGGCGATGATATTTTGTTATTGGCTGCTGGAAGGGATGTTACCCAGGTAAATAGAAAAAATAATTAATGTGCTTTTATTGAGACATAAATTTATCCGATTTCTTCTTTAGGCTTTCGAAACTTATCATGAACTCGGAAAACCTGATGTTATCCTCAAGTAAGTTAATAATAGTTCTCAATCATATGCTTGATTTTTCAAAAAATAATAAATGAATGGAATACTTTGAAATAAAAATATAACAGAAAGTTTTTCGTTGGAACGCTTATAACCAATGAACTACCAATCTTTCCAGAACCTAGTGAATTTCATCGAGCCATGAAAAAGGTCGGAATTAAAAAATTAACACGTGAAGTTCACGTGCATTATATTATTACTGATATCAATATTTTTTATTAGAATGTTGAAGGATATTTCCGAAAGACAGGAATTGATCCAAAGGTAATATTTACTATGCCTTAATATCATTTGAAAATTTTTTATATTCTGACTCATTCGCCTATTATTTATAGAACTGCACGAACATTTGGATCAGATATGCTATTATTTATGGCATGCTTATTGGCTCTTACTATGCTCAATTTTACCTACCATACGTGGTAGAAAGGACTTGGCTACAAATCATATTCGCGTTATCTTTAGGATTCGCATGTGCTCAGGTTTATATGCCTTATTTGCTTATGTAAATACAATTTATATGTATAATGTTGAGCTGATGTTCTTTCATACTTCTAATAGCTTGGGTTAAATCAATTACATGACGCGTCACACTTTGCGGGTAAGCTGACGCACGGATGGAATTTCATCATCATTAGATTTTAAACCCATAATTTCGTTCTGATTATTCAACGACACTTTGATAGTAACAAATGATCCATTTGTCTGGAAGATATTGGGTGCCACCCATGATTTCTTTAATGGTGCATCGTAAGTTCGCTTTTTCATTGCTTTATTTATTCCGTTTTTAATGAAATTTATAATAGTTAACTTATATATTATAGTTATCTTGTATGGCTTTATCAACATGCTTTCGGCCATCATATTTATACAAATATCGCAGGTAAGTAGAATTGATTAATATAGCACTTTCAAAGTTTTTTTTTTTTTTGATAATAACCTCCCTTCCTTTTTTTTTAGGCTACGATCCTGATATTGTAACGGGTAGGGCACTTTTTAATTCAATTTTATTTTTAAAATTCTATAATAAATTGCATCATTTACATTGTGCTTTGTAATTTTGAATTTATAGGTGATCCAGATATAAGACGCATAAAGCCAAGTCAAACTTGGTATTCACGATACATAAATCAACATTTGTTTGTACCGATACTTTACGTTTTTCTAGCTATTAAAGTTCGTATCCAAGACATAACAATTTTATATTTTGTTGGTTCGAACGATAAAATACGAGTAAATCCTATTACAACATGGCATAATTGTGTATTTTGGGGTGGAAAGGTAAAGTCAATGCCAATTTTTAGAAAATGTTGACCTTAAGGCAATGTGATATAAAAAAAAAAAAAAAACCCTTGATCTAGGTATTTTTCGTGTTATATCGCATCCTCGTTCCTTTGATGATAGGTTTTTCAGCATGGAAAGTTTTCTCACTATTCGCCATCGCTGATGCAGTTTCATCATACTGGTTAGCTTTGACATTCCAAGCTAATCATGTTGTGGACGAAGTAGAATGGTAATTTAATACACTTTCTTACGTTGATTTTTTATTGTGAATTTTTTTATGGTTAATATAATCAATTAACTATTTATGAATAAAATTAGGCCTCTTCCTGATAAAGATGGTCTTATACAAAAGGATTGGGCTGAAATGCAAGTAAGTTTTTTTTTGCTGTGCAATGCTATCAATTCATAATAATAATAATAATTATTATTATTATTATTATTCTTCTTCTTCTTCTTCTTCTTCTTATTATTATTATTCTTATTATTCTTATTATTCTTATTATTCTTATTATTCTTATTATTCTTATTATTCTTATTTTTTTTATTTATTATCTATTATCTAATTCAAGATTGTTACAACCCAAGACTATGCGCATGAGTCCGGATTCATAACGGCTATTGTTGGATCTTTGAATTTTCAAGCTGTTCACCATATTTTCCCACATATATCTCAACATCATTATAATAGGATTGGTCCTATCGTTAAGGAGACATGCCGGGAATTCGGAATTCGATATTATTATAAGGTAATATATAATTACTGAAGAAAACTTTTATTACCATTTTAGACAAACATTATAAAATAATATCTTCTTTATAGGATACACTTTGGGATGCTATTGAATCACATATCAGACATCTTCATTTGCTTGGCCTAAAACCAGAGGACCATGATAAAGCAGAATAAATTATACTAATAACTTTGTTCTACGGTGATATGATATACTCAAGTTTGTATTTTGTAGTTGTGAGCTGTAAAAAATACGTAATAGTATAATTATGTATTGTAGTTTTATGTAATGAAGAGAAAAACATAGATTTTAATTTCTAAATAATTGTTAATCTTATACATAGGTTTGCATATTTATTAATGTCTATGCTTTTGGATCTTTTATTATTTTTATACACAAATTATTTGTCAATAGATAATCTAAATACTGAAATAGACAGGTAGCTTTATTTAAGTTTAAAATAAAGATAGTTTTTTTGCCTACATTATTGATTATTAAAGTTTAATAAATAGATATGATTACAATTATCGTGGCAGCTGATGCTGAAAATTGGGCTATTTTTATTATGAAATTTTAATATTATTAGTATAGTGTGTGACACTTAAAGATTGTTATATTTGTTCCATTAATATTGTATATAATTACCATATTGTAAGTATGAAATTTTATTATATAAATTTATATTTATATATTAAGTTGTTCAAGAGACCAATATACACATACTGTATTTTAAAGTTTTATTTAAATTACAATAGAATAAGTGGATTATATATAAAATTCTGTGTTAAACTTTATTAAAGATTGTTATTATAGTAAAATATTTTTTATTATTAATAATTTGAGTTTTTTTTTTTTAATTTTTTTTTTATTTTTTTATTTTTTTTTTACTCTTTGACAGTCTTGTTAGTACCTTTATTACTAGATAATTACTTTTACATATGTTATTATACATGTTATTTATCTACACTAAAATAAATAGGTCCGGCATCATCCAGTTGCTTCTCGAGTACCTAGATGCGACCTGTCGCACTACTCTACGCATAGAGCAGAAGACATTGTCAGCCCCGTCAA